GTTACGAACCTCATCTACGGTCCGTAGATGGATCTACGGTTCGTAGATGGATCTACGGTTTGTAGACGGGGTATCGTGGAAGCCATCAGTGCATTTTTTTTTGCTTTTGTTTTCAAAACTAACACAACCTCATCATACATTTACAAACTTAAAATATGTTAGTTCGTCATTCTTAAGATTCCGACCGATTATTATACCCATTAATTTAGACTAGATGTGGAACCCTAAGTCGAAACTAGCATATAGTATTTACGATCACAGAAATTGATATTACACTAATGCTATACAATCATTATCTATCGTTCCAAGGGCATTGTAATATTCAAGTTAACATGCAATTTCATCTAACAATTACCCAAGGTCAAGACCCAACTCCCGACCCTCTATATTCAATCTATGAATCGAAATTCAAACTGAAGAGAAAGTCTATTACCTTACAAGCAACAAGGAGTGGGGTGATTGCGTGATGATACTATGCTTAGCAAGACCAAGGAGTCATCTTTTCGTTACTGACCAAACACCGGTCTCTTTATGTGAGATTATGGGAGGGGTCGTATTTAGAATGGAAGAGATGTTGGGGAATTATGGAAGGAATGATATGATGGGGGAGTTATGGGGTGATTTGGGGAGGTTAGGGAATGTTAGAGACGGTTGTGGGAGTAATGGAGGGAATGGGAATGGTTTAAAACAAAAGGGTTTTTAAATGGGGGAATCCGGGTCGGGTCAGAAAGCCTGAGGTATGGACTCACGAGACCCTGTCTACGGTCCGTGAGTCAATCTACGGTCCGTAGATCGGGACCGTAGATCACTCATACACTTGAAACTTCAGAAAAATTTAGCCACTTACCTGGGATCTACGGACACCATCTACGGTTCATAAGTCAAATGACGGACCGTCAATGGGCTCCGTAGACCGCTCCACCAGATCATTTTCTGCAGATTTTCCGTGGTGTACCTGCACATGTAGCAACCAATAGGCTATTCTTTTTACATTTTCTGGACACTTTTTAGACACGGACCCTTTTCTAATTCTAGCCAACACTAAGAACTAAAACACTGAAGCACCTACCTACATTAATACCAAGACGCAAGTAATCAAAGAAAGCTAAACTACTAAATGGAAAACAGAACCCTATCGTTGGCCAGATTGTACATCTTGGGTTGCCTCCCAAGCAGCGCTTGATTCAACGTCGCGGCACGACGCTGGTGTCTTGATTACTCAGACTTCATCATGATTGTAGGCCTCAATCACCTCTTGCACAGTTTCAGCATCTCCCAGACAGATCTTGATCCTCTGCCCGTTCACCACAAAACTTGTTCCATCCCTATTTTCAAGCTCAACTGCTCCATACGAGAGCACTTTCGTGAGCAAAAATTGCCCGGTCCACTTGAACTTGAGTTTGCCTGGAAATAGGCGCAACCTAGAATTGAATAGCAGCACAAGATCACCAACCACAAATTCTCGATTTTCAATTCTTTGATCATGGTACCTCTTCATCTTCTCTTTGTATAAGGCTGAACTTCCATAGGCTTTTAGGCGAAACTCATCAAGTGCATTCAGGTCATTGATCCTTTGATTAGATGCAGTGCCCCAATCCAAATTTAACTTCTTCATTGCCCACATAGCCTTGTGCTCTAGCTCTACTGGTAAATGACAAGACTTCCCATATACAAGTTGGTAAGGAGACATACCTATGGGGGTCTTGTATGCAATGCGATATGCCCATAGAGCATCATCAAGCTTCCTTGACCAATCCGTTCTATTAGCATT